TATCACTGGTTTCTGTGTACCTCCTGGGAGAAGCCAAGGCTCACAGGCTGTAGCATTTGGGCAAGTATAGAAGGTGAGAAAACTAACTCCTGCAAAATCTAAATTATACCTCCATCATTGAAGGAGCCATAACCCCGAGGAAATAGGTTATGACCCTTAAGAATTTACTATGATGCTTTTGATGAAAGGACAAACTCTTTATTATTATTATTATTATTATTATTATTATTATTATTATTATTATTTTCTATTTAAACTCCAGATTTTATTTCCCTCCCGGTCCACACTCCAACTGTTCCACATCCCTTACCTCCTCCCTGCTACCCTGTCTCTAGGAGGATATCCCTACTCTTCCCCCCACCCCCACCTCACCAGATTTTTAAACTCTCTTGGGCTTCTAGTCTCTCGAGGGTTAGGTGCATATTCTCTGACTAAACTCAGATCCTGAAGTCCACTGCTGTATATGTGTTGGGGGCCTTATGTCAGCTGGTATATGCTGCCTGGTTGGTGGTCCAGTCTCTAAGAGATCTTGGGGTTTCAGGTTAATTAAGACTGCTGGTCTTCCACAGGGTCATCCTTCTACTTGGTTTCTTCCAGCTTTCCCCTAATTCAACCACAGGGGTCAGCAGCTTCTGTCCATTGGTTGGGTGCAAATATCTGCATCTAACTCTTTCAGTTGCTTGTTGGGTCTTTCAGAGGGCAGTCATGATAGGTCCTTTTTTGTGAGTACACATATCTTTAGTAATAGCATCTGGTCTTGGGGCTCCCCTTGAGCTGGATCCCACTTTGGATCTGTTGCTGGACCTTCTTTTCCTCAGGCTCCTCTCCATTTCCATCCCTGAACTTCTTTCATACAGAAACAATTATGGGTCAGAGTTTTGACTGTGGGATAGCAATTCTATCCTTCACTTGATGCCCTGTCTTTCTACTGGAGGTGGGCTCTACAAATTTCCTCTCCCCAATTTAGGGTATTTCATCTAAAGTCCCTCCATTTGAGTCCTAAGCATCTCTCACCTCCTAGGTCTCAGGAACACAAGTAATCCCACTAAAATGAGGTAAAATACAAGAATGCCCACTCTTCCCATATCTATTCTATACAGTATTCAAAGTGATAGCTAGAAAAATAAAACAACCAAAAGAGATCAAGGGGATACAAGTTGGCAAAGAATAAATAAAATTATCACTATTTGCAGACGATAAGATAGTATACATAAGCGCCCCCAAACACTTTAGCAGAGAGTTCCAGCTGATAAACAACTTCAGCAAAATGGCTGGATAGAAAATCTAATAAATTAGTAGCCTTCCTTTATACTCATGATAAACAGGCCGAGAAAGAAATTAGGAAAACAACTCCCTTCACAATAGCCACAAATAATATAAAATATCTTGGGGTTACTCTAACCAAATAAATGGAAAAGATCTGTATGACAATAACTTCAACTCTCTCAAGAAAGAAATCAAAGAAGACCTCAAAAAATGGAGAGATCTCTCATGCTTTGGATTGGCAGAAATAACATAGTGAAAATGGCTATCCTACCAAAGGAAATCTACAGATTCATTGCAATCCCCATCAAAATGCCAACACTATTCTTCGAAGATATGGAAAGAGCAATTCTCAAATTCATCTTGAAAGGCAAAAAAACTCAATAATTCTTAAGAATAAAAGAACTTATGGGGGAATCACCATCCCTGACCTCAAGTTATACTACAGAGCAATAGTGAAAAAAAACTGCATGGTATCGGTACAGAACAGACATGTTGATCAACAGAATAGAATTGAAGACTCAGAAATAAAGCCACACACTTCCAGGCACTTGATCATTGACAAAGAAACCAGACATATACAGTGGAAAAAAGAAATCATCTTCAACAAATGGTGCTGATATAGCTAGCTTTCTGTATGTAGAAAACTAAAAATAGACCTGTATTTATCACTTTGCACAAAGCTCAAGTCCAAGTGGATCAAGGACCTCAACACAAAATCAAACACAATGAGTCTAATAGAAGAAAAAGTGGGAAAGAGCCTTGAACTCATTGGCACAGGGGGAAATTTCCTAAACAGAATACCAATTGTTAATGCTCTAAGATCAAGAATTGATAAATGGGATCTCATGAAACTGGAAAGCTTATGTAAGGCAAAAGACATAGCCTATAAGACAAATCAGCAACCTACAGATTAGGAAAAAAAATCTTCATTAACCCCACATCCAATAGAGGGATAAGAAGCTAACCACCAAAAAGTCAAATTACCCAATCAAAAAATGTTGAATAAAACTAAACAGAGAATTCACAACGGAGGAATCTCAAATGGCTGAGTGGCACCTAAATAAATGTTCTAAGTCCTAAATGATCATAGAAATGCAAATCAAAATAGATTTAGATTCCTTAGACCAGTAAGAAGAGCTAAGATCAAAACCTCGGAGACAGCACATGTGGATCTGGAGAAGGACAAACTCTTAATGAGACTCCAAAAACTTATACCCATAGATAAGTGAAATTGTCAATACTCATCACAGAAAAAAAATAAACACCTTCTTCTCCCACATAAATGGTGAATAACAGATACCTACAACTGCTGAGGCTGTTAAAAAAAAAAGACATCAATATATTGAGCTCTGAATGTGACACCTTTCTAACATTACTTTGTAGAAAAATATTATCCAAGAAGAGATTTGAGTATAAGGAGAATGTAAGCATCAGGAGCAGTGCATGATAATAGAAAACCTGTGGTTTAGAGAAATGCAGGGATATTGTATATGCACAAAACTATGTGAGGTAAGAGACACAAAAACTAAAGCACAAATGAGGATGCAGTGATGAAGTCCTATCCAGAGCTGAGAAGATACTGATGTTAATTAATGATTGCTGAGTATGGGAGAGTCATTATTCTTCAGGGACATATGCTCTGAGGGACTATGAATGCCCTGTTGTTTTCAAATTTTAAAGGCTAATTCATGTATTTTCTTTGTATCCAAACTTAGTATATAACTTGTTTAACTCAAAAAATACAAAAGCATTTCTCTATTTTCTATGCATTTATGAGTATCCTTATTTTGAAACACAATCATTAATTAGGAGATTTACTAACTCTTTAAAGGAGAACTGCTTTTGATTTCAATATTATAAATTCTGAGGTTAGTTTTTTTTACTTTTAATAAAACCTTGATTTTAATGGCTAGATATTACTATGATTAAACCAGAATTCAAAAAAACTTTTGACTTTCATAACACTGAAAAGAATCAATATTTTATAAAATCAAATATCTAACCAAAAATGGCACAATTAATCTTGAAATTTTAAATTCTCCCTCCCTGACTAACATCCTCTAGATATTCTGTAATTCATAGACTCAAAGAATGTAACATACAAGTTTGAATATGTTATGAATGCACTTTGGTGACAAACACAACAGGGAATGCCCCAGAGAGATTATGTATTTATTTTCTGGTTTGAAAATAGAAAATTAAAATGTGCTGGAAAATGTGGAGAAACATCACAAACAAATAAAAAACAGCAATATTTCTGGAATAAAGCCTCTTCTGCTCCTGTTCACTGGTAGAAACATGTTTTATCACTACTTAAAACCCACAAAATGATTGTCAAGCATAACTCAAAGCTGGACTTTGATTAATGTTTCTGGGATTTGTTTCATTTTTCAAGTATATGTAGCACAGATTGATCTCAGAAAAAATATGTGGCCTTGGGTAACCTTTACATTCCAATTAATTATGATTGTTATTTCATCTAATAATCAAAACTTATAAGGAATATACGTTCCATTTAGAAAGAAAACATTACATCATTCGGTAACATAAGATGGAAAGAAAGTAATTAAGGTTAATTCAGTAAACAAGACAGTATTAAAGCTGTAGAGGCAGCCATGGAAAAATTGTACACATCTAACATAATGTCTCTCTCTCTCTCTCTCTCTCTCTCTCTCTCTCTCTCACACACACACACACACACACACATGCTCACAAAATACATATATTTATGCTTTGATGTACATATTATTAAATGATACACTAAAATTTTGAACTATAATCATTAAAAGTATGGCATTAATTATTGCTATTTGAATCACATTGGAAGTAATATGAAAGAAAGTAATATGAAATCAGGACATAACTGAAACAGCTGAAGGGGTTTGCAACCCCATAAGAAGAACAACAATATCAATCAAGCAGACCCCTCAAGAGCTCCCGGGGACTAAACCACAAACCAAAGAGTACACATGGAGGGACCCATGGCTCCAACTGCATATTTAACAGAGGATGGCCTTATCTGGCACCACTGAGAGGGGAGGCCCTTGGTCCTCTGAAAGCTAGATGCCACAGCATAGGGGAGTGTTAGAACAGTGAAGAGTGAGTGGATGGGTGAGGTGGAGCATCCACATAGAAGCTTTAGAGGGGGTGGGGAGATTCAGTTTTTGGAAAGAAAACTGGAAATGAATTTATTTACATTATTTCTAATGTAAACAAATAAAGTAGCTAATAAAAATTAATTAAAAAGGCAAAAAACAAGAAGAACAATAAAGATTACCTGTAGAGTCAAGGCATTTCTATGTTCTGATATTGCTGAGCCCTTAATATCAAAGTGATAGACCTCACTTTTCTGATATGGTGACCAACATTTTTAGATAAATTTTATAGAAATATGCATGAATATAAAATTTGTGTAAATGCTAAAACATTAACAATACATTTTCATACAAACAGGTACACATATATACATGAACAGCAGAGTATTTATTGTAAAGTTCAATTTATAAAACTAATTAAAATCACAAGAGATATCTGTACTCTTCATTAATATACAGGAAAAACATTGCTACCATCTTTAGGTTTATAGACTTTAAAATAATCTGTGCCACTTCATTTCTTCAACTGTATTGTTTATAATCTGTCTTTTCTTCCAAGAACCTTTTTTTGACTGAAACATATAAAGCAATTGCATTTACTTGTTGTGCAATAAGGTAACACTAAACAACATGTAATTTCTAGGAAAAGATATTTTGTATGGTTTTCCCTGTTTTTTTAAGGGAATATTTTACATCTTTGTTCCTCAAGCTGTAGATCAGGGGGTTCAACATAGGGATGATTAGGGTATAAAAAATAGAAGCTGCATTGTCAGTGTTTAAAGAGTGACTAGACTTAGGTTGCACATACATAAATATCAATGTCCCATAGAATACAATAACCACTGTCAGGTGAGATCCACAAGTGGAAAAAGCCTTCTGTCTACCCTCAGCAGAGTTCATCCTGAGAATAGCTCTGAGAATGAGCAGATAGGAGACAAGGATGACTAGTGGTGAAGAAATCAAGTTAATAGTTGATAAGATTAAATTTAAGAGTTCACTTTCCTCTTTATTTGAGCAAAGCAGAGATGTCAAAGGGGGACCATCACAGTAGAAATGGTTGATAATATTGTGACCACAGAAGGATGAAGAAAAAACATTTATGGTAGCTATGAGAGCAACAAATATACTGTAAAGGTAAGGAATTGTCACCAGGACCCAACACACTCTTTGTGACATAATGACATTATAGAGGAGTGGTTTACAGATGGCGACATAACGGTCATAAGACATTGCAGAGAGAATAAAAAATTCACTAATAATGAACATACTAAAGAAAGCAAACTGGACAGCACAAAAATAAAATGAAATTGAATTTTGTTCTACAAGAAAACTTCTTAACATTTTTGGTCCCACAGCTGTTGAATAACCAAGGTCAGTAGTAGCAAGGTGTCTCAGAAAAAAGTACATGGGTGTTTGTAGCCTGGATTCCACCATGGTAAGGATGATCATGCCCAAGTTGCCCACCAATGTGATCAAATAGATGATGAGGAACAGTCCAAACAATGGGGCTTGCAGCTCAGGGCGGTCAGTTATTCCCATCAGGATGAATTCAGTCACCACTGTGAGGTTGTGGCTTTTCATTGTTGTTATGGAAAAACCTGTTTTGAGTAGAGACCATTGCACAGTGAATAGAATTCAAATGTATTATTCTAAGTAGCTTAAATAAAATATCTTGAAACGTCTGCAATTATTTTTGAAAAAATAATCTATTTAAAAGATGTAGACATACTCATATATAAAAATCACACAGATGCAAACATGTGACTGGAAAGACACAGGCAATTCTTCCTCAAGGAATGAAAGTTTTAATCAAGAATAATATCAATCTTTGACAGTGATACTTGCTTTTTTTAACTATAATGAAAGAAGTCACTTTATTTCAATATTAGACATTAGTTTAAATGGAAAACAACCTCCTATTCTTAATATGTAGCCAAGGACCCATCCAACCTCAAACTTTAATACTCTCAGGACATGACAATTTTGTAATACAGACAGAAGTATATGTCTAGATTAATATATATGAATATATAATACATATGAAAAATATTTAGATTGTATATAGTTGGAATTATACACTGATAAAATTTATTTTTCTTATAATATGATTCTTGTGGTGACATCTAAAATGCATACCAATAATAGCATATATACCTACAAAAAACTCTAAAAATGTGTAATATTCTAGTTTCAAGTGTAGATCTAGAAAATCTTAACAGGTAAAATGAAATATTTGGAGTTGTTATTACAATCCGCATTGGTCAGATCTATGAATAAGTTAGGATTACACATCAAAATTGTCTTACAGTCATAATTTGTTGATTTTAAGAAACAAAAGAGCATATAAGTGAAAGTATCTATGTAATTGTCTTACACACTACCTAGCAGCACTACCTTTGATAAGGTAATGTGAGATGTATAAAGTACTTTCTAAGTATTTTTAAAATCAAAAGTTTTCTCTATGGATTTTGAAAACCTGACCCAAAAGTAACTGATCCAACAAATCTGTGCATCCTGGACATAGTCACAAAGACAACGAACACAGGGATTTCAAACAGTAAGTGGATACATTAACTTACCCAAAAGATTTCTTTCTTATAAATGTGTGTGTGTGTGTGTATATCAAGCACAATTCACTCTATGTTTCTTAGATAGATCTGAAACTATGTGAAAAGTGGGAAAGGAGTCACAGAAATAGGTTGTCTATAAAATATCACAGTCTGATGCTCAAAATGCCAAAAGTTCCATAGTTTTCTCTCATTTTGAATTAATATTTTGTTCATTACTATGTTAATAACATTAATAAGGGTGGATTATGTAACAAAATCATCTATTTTCAATAAAAGGGAAAAATAGAGCATGTGAAAATTAAGAAAAATAAACAAAACTTAAAAAACTAGAATCCTTCATATAAATTAAAATATAACCTTGAAAGAACACTTTTATTATAAAACAGCTTGTTTTTGAGTAATGAGTCATTTACAGACTGACTTAAAACCAGGGAAAATATGAAAATATCAGAAAAAATTAGAAGAATTTATTAAAATCTTATGAACTCTCAAAATCCTACATTGATTAAGGAGGTAGGATATTAAATTAGTATATTCTTTAGTCATATCATTTTTAGCATGGGTGACCATTATTATAATAGATGTCTAATGCTTGATACTGGATAAAAATTTAACTGTGGAATAACTGACACTAAACAAAACCAAAGTAAGATATCTTTTGCATAGATGCAAGTGAGAGTCAGAAAATCATTCTGTTTAGTGAGTTCACAGGAATATATTCAAAACATGACATAGAAAAACACTGTAATATGCCATGTCTGAATATTCCCAGTGCACCAGAGAGAAAGTCACTGGAGGGAAAGACCTTTTACTTTTATAAAAAAAATTATATGTATTGAGGTTTTCTGAGTAGTAAGAAATAAAATGATTTACAACAGTAATGATGGTAGAGAGTGCAGCCTCTGAGTAAATGGGAGCAAAATCTTCTAGAAGTCCTTGTTCTGTGTACAGCTGATTGTATTCTATTGGCACTTAGTTCACTTAACAGGTTGTTTCAAAGGGTGGTTACCATATATTATTTCATTCTCCATATATACATTTCATATATTAAGCATTGAAAATTTTTAATTATTCCATAACTGAAAATCACCAATTTGGCACTGTTTTATATTAGATTTGCAATGTTATAAATGTAAAAATTAAATACAATTACTGGCAATTTTCTTATAGGTATAGACAGACCAAAATTTATAGTCTGAAGAAGTTCAGAACTCAAAGTAAATAAAAACATTCTTTTGTATAAATTCTTTTGTCCATTGCTTACTTGAATACTATTTTTCAAAACTAAAATCTAGAAAAATTAATTACATTTACTACAAAAGATGCTTTCCTATTGTCATAAAGGTATTGCAGGTATCTCTTGACTGTCAAGAAATTTTATTCACACCCATTTTGAAATACCAACTCCTTTTTCCCTTATAAAGCATCCGAAAGGGCTCCAAGAGATCTCTCCACAGGCAAAAGCATTTAGTTGGGAGGACCTGAATTGGAGCAACAGGACACAACAATGGAAAGGTAGAACTGAATCATGAGCTTGTCCCCTAAAATCTATACATTTACTGTAACTAATAAATTAACACATTATAAACATTTTAAAGCATTGAAAAGTAATCACATCTACACCTTTCCTCTAAAAATATTTTGTTAAAGTTTCAATTATTTAAGTTAATTTAACATAATGGGTTTTAATATTATTACACACACACACACACACACACACACACCCTCACACATCTTTATCACACATTGTTCTAATTCCCCCCTCCCTCTCTGATTTTATCTTTTGGATAGCTATTTTCTTTCTTTTTCCTTTTTTTAAAGATTGAATTGGTGTTTATATTTGGTAGAAACATGGAAAAATAAATGCATATGTACTTATACAGATATATAACACGCACGTTAAAGTTGCTATAGTGGTAAATCATTTTACTTATTTTAATTTAGAAATATATGGTCTATTCCTCTGGGTTTAGGATAAAGTTTGTAAGGGATTTTTAGTTAATCTAGGGACAAATAAAATTGAGTATGGTAAGAACTATTGACTTAGTTGTGTTTCCTAACTCCTTTCTTTAAATGAAATCACATGTTTTTATTTATTTATTTATTTATTTTATATGATTCTCATCTAGACCATTCATTAGTAATAAAATTGAGTGTGTGTGTGTGTGTGTGTATGTGTGTGTACATATATGTGTGTGTGTGTGAGAGAGAGAGAGAGAGAGGAAGAGAGAGAGAGAAAGAGAGAGAGGAGGAGAGGTTTTCTAAAAACAAATTATCATAGAAATTATTTCTGTGTATGCTTAAAGATAAATAACAGCATTTTCCCTCTCAACTTCGATGAACGTGTTCAAAAACTAACATGAAAAGGGGAAATGAAGAGGTATTATTGCTGTCCAGGTGTCTTGGAATATTAGAAAGAATAGACAGGGAAACACAAATGAGGAACTCAAGATAGTGAAACTCTACTAAAAAAAAGGCACCTATCCTCTTAAGCTTAAACTAGAGGGCTCACTGTGACACTCTCTTACCTGCTTTGAAGCTCCTGCTTTCATTTCCCACTGTGGTTCTTAGTTGGGTTTCTGAGATCTATTCTTGTGTATTTTAAAACCATAGAGTATCTCCCTGAGGGGACACCAAAAATTATTAATTACCAGCAAACTTTTGAAAGTCTAATGAGAGTACCTGGAGGTTATAAACTCTCAGGATCAATTTGTATTCATCTGTGATTTAGGTACTTGTTAAATAGGCCACTATTCCTACTTCCATTACTTATCAACAATATTGTGGCTAAGTCTTCAACTGTAAATTTGTGCTCTCTTGCTTGTAACAATATGTGCAATTTTCAGGATATAAAACAAATATAATATCTAATCATGAATAAATGAGAAAATAAGATATTTCATATAAAAATAGAGTTAAATTTAACTTTAAACATATGAAGTATGTTACCAGGAATGAACATAGACAAATGCTGAATGAAATAATTCTCAATTATACAAGGATAAATACAGTAAGTTTCCTATTATATGAGCTGCATGAAACTCGAATAGAGGAAGTTAAATTAAAGTTTAAAGGATCAATGCTATCTCTTCAATTTTGTGAATATTTGAACAGATCAAAGATAACAAACGAAGATTCTCAATAGAAATGACTGATGGCATTGTACACATGGAAAGACAAAGTGAAAATCTTAACTGTGCAGAAAGAGGTGTAGGAGAAAACAGGAGAGAAGTACATAGAGTCAGGATATTGAACAGAGGTATGTAGCAGTGGAGGATGGAGAACTGAGGTTAGCCACTAGAAAGCCCCAGGTGCCAGGGAAGCAAGAGATTCCCATGACCCAACAGAGATGACATTAGCCTAAATATCCAACACAGGGTACATAAAACCTATAGAGACCATACTCAGGGGATAAGTACAGCTGTTGAGGGATAGGGCTATCCAGCTATCTCAAAAATTTTAAACAATGATTGTTCCTGTCTAAAGAAAATACAGGGAGTAATAGTGGAGCAGAGACTGAAAGAAAGGCCATTCAGAGACTGTCCCAACTAGGGATCCATTCCATCTGCTGACATTGAAACCAAGCACTGTTGCTGATGTCAAGAAGTGCTTGCTGACAGGAACCTGGTATAGTGGACCCGTGAAAGACTACCAGAGCCTGACCAAAATAGATCTGGCATCAATGGGAGGGGTGTCCCTTGGTCCTGTGGAGATCCGATGCCCCAGCATAGGAGAATGTTAGGGCAGTAAGGAGGGAGTGTGTAGGTGGGTAGAAAATAAAGTCTCATCGAAGCAGGTGGGGGGAGAGATGAGATAGAGGTGTTGCACAAAGGAAACTGGGAAGGATGACAACTTTTGAAATGTAAACAAATAAAATAGCCAATTTTTTTTAAAAAAGGAAAATCTTAACTGTGAGTAGTACAATCACAGTTGTGCAGTTAAGATAAAGGTTGTTGCCAGTAACCAAAATAATATTCATGACATGAGAAGATCATAAACAGAGGCTTACAGTGCCAGAGAGTAGTCATAGGACATTGAAAACAGAATTAAAATCTTACAAGCAATAAGCTATGGTAGAAGGCTAACTCTGTATCACAAATGCTAAAAGATACTGGTTTTTGACCAACAATAAAATTTCTTATGATTTTGGTTCCAACAGTTATTGAATAAACAAGAACAGTAGTAGCTATATGTTTGAGAGATAAGTGCATGCAGCCTGGAGTCCACCATGGTAATGAGGGTCATGCTCAAGCTGTTTGTCATGGAAACCAGATAGATGATGAGGAATAAGCTGAACAATGATACCTATAGCTTAGAGAGATTTGTGATGCCAACAGGATGAATTGGGTCACCACTGTGAGTTGTGTTTCTTTATCCTAGCTTATCAGACTAATTCTTTTTTGTTAAATAAAACATCATATTATCAACAGAGTTTAGAAATTTTTGGAGAAATTTTATAAACTATTATAGGTAATATAAACCTATTTTTTTCAATCTTCAATATATAAAATGCACATTTGTTTTACATCTTTTTATACATATATAACACATTTGTATATGACTTTACAAACAGAAATAGACACAGATTACAAGAATGTTTCTAAACTAGATTTGTGTTACAAAATGATGTTGTTCAATATGTACAGATATTTGATTTCACAATCTTTGGGGTATGTCCCCTTCTCATGTCTGGTAGCAAAGCCCAGTTAAATGGTAAAATATTATACTTCATCAAATACTCAGACTATAAAAATACTTAGTGGATGTTTTACTAGTTTGAACAGTCAATAACTCATTTTCTATAACACATATTTGTAAAATTTAACAATGTTCTAACTTATGATTATATCTCTGTGGCCACATAATAAAACTTTTTTTGTTTTTGTTTTTAAATTATTTATTTATTTATTTATTTATTTATTTTCTTTGTAATTCTTTTCTTTTTTTTAATAATTTATTTTTTCTCAAATCATAATTAATTCACACAGGGGTTATAAACACAGAAAGGCAGGATGTGGGGAAGGGAATGGGACTGGAGTGTGGGTGTTCAGGGGGAATACAGATATCTTCAGAACCGGGTATCGGCTGGGTGAAAGTTCAGGGGACAAGTCACTATGACTCTGCCTATGACTCGCTTGTCCTTATCTAAGTTGGTATTGTCTGCCAAGGCTACCTATTTACAAGGTCTATGACTACTCAGGCTTGTAAATTTCCACAAAAGCTGCCTGTTTACATTAGCTTATAGCCATCTGTTTCAATGTTTTTCCACTGAGACCCAAGACTTGGTGTTAGTATACATGTATGACAGGTCTATTGCTGAGTTTAGGCCTATGGCTGATTTTAGGCCTTCAGTGTATAAGCAGGGATGCCCCTGACATCTCCTCCCTTCTCTAAGTAGAGAAGGGCTGTGGCAATTCTAAACTTGCAAAGGTGGGGATAGAGGCCTGACCTCCAGTATTTGAAGGGGACCTTGTAATTGGTCCAGTCCTCCTCTGTTCAGTATTCTCAAGAGAGAGGTAAATCCTAATTTTCCTCAAAAATTAATTGACAAAAGAGAGGTAATCTCACAAAAAGTAGAAGAAGCTATTACTAATCGATATATTATATAGTCTGATTAGTTGTCGGCGGTGATATAACAGGCCTTTGACAAAAGATTATTAATATAGATTTATATATCCTTAAAGAGGGTCTTCATGACTCTCTGAGTGTGGAAGGCGTGACTATTGGCGCTCCTGCCCTGATTTTACAAGAACTCTGAAAAATTGGCTTTAAAAACAAAAGAGGGGAACGGTACCCCCTCAGAAGGAGTCCCCCTGAAATACTCTCCATCATTTCTTGTTCACTTTTATCTCTCTAAAGCTGAAAGTTCATGGCAAATCTGCTGCTGAGTGCCTCTGGCACCACCAAGACCAACAAAACTTTGCCACAGATATGGGGAAGGATCCTCTTACCCTTATAAGGAATGGCCCAGACCCAGTTCCCTTATGGGGCCGAGGATTGATATGCCTGTCTGATACCACAGAAGGCTCAGCTAACTGGCTACCAAAAAGATTAATGAAAAAAATAGATACCACCACAAAGCCAGGTCCAACCATAAATACGATGAATAAAAATTTACATCCAGGGAAGAGAAATCTCCCTGAGAATTTCCTTCTTTTTCCTTTCCAGGTAAAAATAAATCACCCGTGATGTCTGCTGTTAGAAGTTCTAATCCAGATGCTGGCCTCCGAATTTATACTACTCAGACCTTTGAAGGGATACTGACAAGAACATCAAACAGCTAGAGACTGACATCGCTAATCTGAAGAAATCCCACATTTCACTGTCTAAAGAGACCTCCTAAAATCGCAAAGATCCTTATTGGACTTGATTTACAATAGAAAAGGCTGTGTACAGCTCTTGACTGTGTACAGCCCTTAAAGAAGAAGGTTGTCTTTACATAGACAAGACAAGGAGGGTTAAAGAGAGCATGAAATAGGTCAGTGAAGGCTCTAAGAAAAATCAGAGAGAGAAAGAGACAGATGAATGCTGGTACAAGAATTGATTTTCAGCCTCTCTAAGGTTGTTAATCCCATTTCTTCCCATCTTGGGACCATTATTTGGGTTCTTTTTGCTTTTTTCTGCTGGTCCCTGGCCCTCAAATAGGCAGACTAACTCTGTGATACAACAGATAAATAATTTGGTAGCAAAACCTACTCAGATATATTATCATAAGTTAGCTATGGAAGACCACAAGACTCAAGATGAGGTTGTTACTTTATACAGGGTGTTCCCAAAACCCATCTCCACCCAACCTAAAAGGGGGGAGTTCTGCCCCTAGACCAAGCAGAGAGGGGCTACCCAGCACCCCCTCTGACAGGCGATCTAAATTCATGCTTAGACTGCGAGGCTAAGCACTGCAAGGGAATATAAATAAAAGATATAAATATCTCTCTGGGTTCCCTGAGGGACAAGCCTGACTCCATAGGGGTTGACGTCAAAAGTATCCCCTCTCCAGGAAAAAGACATCGGGACGGGTATGGCCCTCATGCCTCAATAAAACTATGATATAGGTTTCCTTCATGCATTTAATCATTCAAATGTATTCTGATTGTATCATATACTTACAGAAAATTTAGATACATATTAGAGGCATAAACTGCTTTAGGAGAATATGAGGATATTAAAACAATTAAGGAAAGATTACTTTGTTAAACAGAACCTGTATTTTGAACTGTCAAATTCTCTGTTAATAAACAGGTAACATTTAAAAGACAGCATACATATCAAATAGTTTATTATCAATGTCACTGTTTCTCATTTTATGTTTGGATGTGCTACATACATCCCTAGGAAAAACAAAAATGTCGTAAGAAGGCATTTGTAATGATTCCTGGATGTGGCTGAAAATCCTCTTTTTCAGCTAGGTCAAGATCATCTCCCCATCATGATAAAGGACACAGTGCAAATAACTCTGTATTCAGAGAAGACACTTCTGAGAAACTCTTACACATCATAGCAGAAATTACAAGATAGCAGCAGCTCTAGATATTGAAAAACACTTATTTCAATATGCTTAATAAAAAACA